GAGTTTTGGAATAAAGCCTTCTAAGTTAAACATGTAAGTTCCATCCTTCTGCAAAATTCAGTGAGACAAATTGAGTTTGGAATTTTATGTAGGCAACATGGTAATAAATTACATGTGAAGCTTAGTATCCGATGATTTATGACTAAATATAAAAGTATATTTACAAACCCACAAACCTGATTATTTACAAAGTTAAAAAGGGTCTGACATCCTATAATTTGCATTTCATCTTGTCGTGTTTGATCCAGCAGAGTATGCATAATGCTGAGTAAGCTACTCGCAAAGAGACGCCTATGAAAAGTCATTGAATAAAAATCAATACACAAAAATATAAGCACATATATACATATGTATAGAGAGAGAGAGAGAGAGAGAGAGAGAGAGAGAGAGAGAATGAGTGATATCTTTCCAGATAATTGGCATTTTATCCTGCTAGAATGTGGATTAGAACTGCACATTCAGACATATGATTCCTCCTCAATGGTCCAGATTCACACAAAAAACTTTACGTGGGGATCCTGCATTCAAACAGTTCTATAGGTCGTTCACACAGCCCTTAACTTTTTAGTTTCTGTTTCCCAGTTAGAATAAGGTTGATTCCTTCATGGTGTACCATAGGGTTTAGGGTTTAGCTCTAGGGTTTATGTGTTGGCCATATGTTTAAACCTTAAACCCTCAAAGGGACCACTTTAAAAGAATATTTTGGCGCTTCATTCGAACAGTGCGGGATCTCGTTTAAGAAGCAGACAGTATGTGTGTGTGTGTGTGTAAAACCATTATAATATAATTAAGAATGAGAGAAATAACTCACATTTGCTCCTTACAAGAAATCAGCAATTTATTGTAGATGCACATGACAATTTTTGTGGAGCGAAAATTCTCATTCCGCAATTCTTTGTAACACCTTTGCTCAAGAAAATTTGTGATCTGCTCACACAATTTACAACTTTAGTCAAAAGAGAAAGAATGCTTGAAGTATTTATCAGCAGACGGGGCTTAATCATAAAGTGATCTTAAGAAAATTTGTAAGAAGTTGCTCCTGGGAAATACTATAATTACAAAAGATATTTCACTCTATGCAGAAAGCAAGGCTACATTCTTATTCAAAATTTATCGCAAGGTGATATATATCACGTATTTGGTGCAAGAAAAAGCTTTGAATCCATAGGCAACACCAGAGAGAGAAAAAAAAAGAAAAAGAAGAGAAGGTAAAATAATATAGAAAGGTTTAACCCTCGCTTTCTAGCAGTAACTGATCTGAAATCCACATCTTTGTTGTATGACAGCTTTTATCTTTGCAATTCCTAAGTGTTCGTTTTCGCAATGGATAAGTCTTCCGTTAACAAATACATTTCAGACTTGTTGCCATAGCCCTCAGGAAACACACACACACACACACAGAGTATATACACTTATGAAGAGAGGTTGAGAGAGAGAGAGAGAGAGAGAGAGAGAGAATATATTGTGAGTTCATAGTAACTACATGCATATACGCCATGCGTTCAATGCGTACACCATATGTTTCCTCACACACAGTGTTTTTTGACTTACTAATAACTACATGCATACATGCCATGTTGCAACACATACACCTTAGTTTCTCTTTTCTCTCAACTCTTTTGGTTAATTTATTTCCTGATGTTTTCTCCGTCTCTCTGTTTCTGTCTATGTCTTCTTTTGACACTTATTATCAATTAAATTACTACAGTAATCATTTTGTAGAGTTATGATGAGTTAACTAAGTTATATGCTAAGAGCACTCAAAGTAATATATATATTTTAGTGAAGCATTTGATTGAGAAAAGAGGCCTAGCTTAAGACATATTAGAGTAACGATTTACATGATATCATTTATACCTTCGGAATTCGCAAAGGATTTTTGGCAGCATATGTCAAGTGTATAGAACAAGTCCTGAATCTTGATATAAATATAAATTTTTTGGGGCAGAATAATAAACGGAGAAGGGACATGGATCACTAGGATAGTGAAAAAACACCGATGTCAAAAATGCATAATCAAACAAATTGAATCATACTTGTAAAACATATGTCATGAAGAATTTAGATGCATCATGCTCAATGAAACAACATTTTTTAAGAAAAGCCAGAAGACCAGGATGCACAATCACTAAATTCAGTGCAATGGCACAAAACCTGGAAGACAATCTCGGAATATTCATATTTGTAAAGGATCCAAAGAAATAAAGTTGATGGCTTCTAACCATAGTGTGAAAGGCACTGTCACGCGGTATACAAAAAGGTGAAAGTCATAATCAGTTTCAGCATTTATTTAGATCACTATCATCTGAAGTTATGCAATACGAGTCTTTACTAGACAATGATGCATGCTGCATAAATTCTCAATTCAGCTGCACATGGCACACAACACTAGCTGATACACTGTTTTCAATCAGTTATCAGATATCTGTCTACATGATTGTGTTCTGAAGTTGCACAATATGCATTTTACTCAAAATGAGGTTCTTGCTCATCAATTAATTCAGGAATTGAGATGACTAGACCCTGTTTCCAACATGGTATTAAATAGATATACAGGTTAACACATACAAAATGAATGGGCAGATAATCAGTCAGTTAACTCAAGTACCACTTACACGTTACGATGTTATAATTTTAGTTTAAATTATGTAAAGGTTGGAAGCAAGTTATAAAGAACCTTCCTCTCAGTTTCAGTTCACTGAGGGAAAAACATTACTTGGATTTTAATGTCAAATGGTTGCATTTGCACAGCATAAGTCCAACATCTATCAAAGGACTAAATATGTACAACATCAACACTTCTCCAAACCCACAAAAATGCACACAGGCATGACATACATTATCATCTGGAAGAGTCTCTCTTCACAAAAAGTAGGCAACAATAACAAGAACCAACTTAGAAACAAGTAGCAATGACACTTTTAAGATAGAATGCAACAGCAACCAATTATGATAAAAAAAACAAGAAAAACGAACCTGGTTACGAGGGAAAATGTCAGCTATGAGCTTCTTGTACCTCTTGACGGGCTGTCTAGACCTGGCCCGCAATGCCGGGCAGAAGAAACAAAGGCCACCACAAGCAGGCAAAACTTGGCGCGAAAGTACCCCCGAAACGGCACTCATTTTTGAATTCAAGATACATACAATTCACTTCACACAGATATGAAAATGGGCACCCCAGAAATTGGCCTTTCTTTCCCTTCCAAATCTATGAGGAAAGCTCTAGGTGCAGAGAAGGGAAAGAAAGGCTCAAAAACTGAGATGGGTATCTCTCAAATTGTACAAAAACCAGCCTGAGATTAACAAAATCCCCAAGTCACAAACCTCAAAAACCAATCAAAACCTCAAGAACAATGCAATGCCAAAGTGGGTGACCAAAAGGGTCCAAGAGAAAACCCAAAACTCATCACAAACTTGATCAATTTGTACAGAATTTAACTGTCGAGAAAAATACCTCGTTTGAATGCCTGCAAGAGCAGACCTGAGGCTGGAAAAATCCACCTTATGCCATGCAGAAAATCCACCGGAATTCCAGCATATTCCACCGCGATTTCTTTTGTGTCTTCCCTTTTTTGTTTTAAATTTGAATTTATACTCAAAATAATATCCGTCCAGCCTTCCAATAATGATACAGAAAAAAAAACGTATACACGTTTTAACGGTTGAACTTGTGGGCCCCAGGGGTTGGTAGCTAGATTACTAGGACTGTTTGATTTGTGGGGCCCATGCCGACGTGGGTGCATAATATATTAACGTTTTTCTGGTGACAGACGTGCAATGCATTGCTTGCTCTCTTTCGACAATTAATTTATTTCTTTGTTTTTTTTCCAACGACTTTTGACAGTTAATTTACCTGAATGGGAAAAATGAGAAGAAAAAAAAAACGACTGGGACTATATTTTTTCGTGTTGGCAATATTTATATATTTCTAAAATCTCTACATTGAAATTGATTTCTGTATCAATTTATTAATTTTACTAATCTACCTTTATCGTATTAGATTTTTTTCTACAGTGGTTAGGTTTCAAAAATAAATTTCTTAAACGATGTCAATTTGATTTCTTTACAAATTTAACCATAAGAACCTCTTTGCATCCAATTGTGTTCAAATCCTCGCTCTATTAACGTTCTAGAATTCTTAAGCTTTTTACAAAGGAACCCGAATCAAACCTAAATCGTATCCAATTTGACTGAAAATCAAGCCCCCTTTTCCCACTTAGTAAAAACCCCAAATTCTTTTTTTTAATCCTCTAAGTTAATCGAGCTTTTACATGTTCTGATAGCTAGATTGAGGCGAAGTAAGATGGTGAAATTGAGAAAAATAAGATGACGAAATTGGGAAAAATGAAATCACGGTGACCAAATTTGTTTTCGAGCCAAACCTAAGTGACGAAAAATGATTTTTGCTCTTCTTTTTTTGTTTGGACAATGAATGTATACTTGGAAGTTAAATATAATAATAGTTGAAAAATGAAAGAAATATAGATCATTGGCATTTTTCACAATTGATTTGGTGATTTGACAAACAGAAATACAAAAGGAAAATAGAAATAGAAATGACAACAACAAAGATGACAAATAGATGAGGTTGAAATAAGATTAAGGAAAATTATTAGGTTGATAATTGTTTTCTATTCCTTAAAGCAAGGTAGAGGTGTAATAATTCAAATTGAGATTTGAAGCATAATTCAAAATGAAGTGGTAGACAAATGGACGCACTCAAGAGTCTCCTGTCACATAATTAAACCGCCCGGCACGATTATGACACGCACTAAACACTAATTAATCAGGGTCATGCTGGATTTGATTTGATTTTTTATTTTTTATAATTGTACTTCATACAAATTTTTTAATTAAGATGAAATAATTTTAAAAATAAATATTGAAGAAAATTAACTTCTTTAACCATGGTGGCGCAATAGCTAGCCAGTAGAGAAAAATATGAAAAGATTTATGAGGATGGTCCAGATCTCATTTGGCTTTCAACAAGTGATGTTAAGGGATTCACAAAAGAATAACTTTGTATTCAATTTTACAGCTAAAACACAAATAATTTGACTGAATGCTCAAAAGATACATGCATTGTCAGTGTGATAATGAATTTATACCCAATAGGTAATACATACACTTTCTCCAAAAATGATACCTATGCTCTTGATGTACCACCATGATCTCTCTCAACGTGCTCTACGAGCGCTACTGGATCACGAAACCCTTTACTACATTTAGGGCAGGCATCGATTGTCATCTTCTTCACCCCAGCTCTGTTGCTGCCCTTCTCATGGACTTTTTCTACGTGGTCTACAAGAGTGGTGACTGAGGAAAACTTAGCACCACACTGCGGACACTCCTCCAGTTGCCCGTTTCTACTCCCACTGCTGCTGCTCTGCCCCACTCCATCCTTTGCTATCTGCCACTTCTGGCTAAGTTCGCTACTCAATTTTGCCACACTCGCTTCAGCTGAGGCTCGAAAAGATGAAGCTGCAGTAAGAAAGCTATTACTCCATTTAGAGGAAGACGCGGCAGGAGCATGGTTGGGCTTTGACACTTCTTTCCTACTCCTACTTAAAAGGCCCGAAAAAGGAAAGCCTGCTGTCGGTTTCTTGGGTCCCGGACACTTGTGATCAGGTCCAAATCGATGCTTCAAACAGTGGTCGACCGTGCAGTCCCTGCACTTGATTGTGTTGGAGAATGTTAAGAGCTCCTTGCAGCCAGGGACAGGACACTTTTTCTTCTTTGTGGCTTTCTCATAATTAGAAGGGTCGCATTCAGCGTTAACATGCCTCTCCCAAGTAATGTTTGCATCTTCATCTGGAATTAGATGAACTCCTTTGGCGCAGAGGGGACAGATGACAACAGTGACATTTTGTCTGTCAGCTTTTGGACAATTATGCTTAATATAGCTTCGATGCTCCAAACAAAATACCTGCAAAATGTTAGGCTTATGTCAATATAAAAAAAGAAAAAAGAAAAAAGAAAAAAAAGAATGATCCCAATAAGCAGAAACAATGTAAGAGAATAAAATCTACAATTTAGGAAAATGGATGATCGCAGAAAGATTGAAGACAACACCATTGTATTAACCTACATAAATAAGAACTACAGAATCAAACGGAATGATGCATCCCAACCCCCAACTCTGTTTGGTTAGCATACATTTAGGGCATATAAAATTTGGGTGAAATTCACAAGATATACGTGGGGGCATACACTACTTTATAGAAAAGTAATTAAGAAGAAAAACTAATGATCTAAAAGGTTGTGAGAACATTCCACAACTAGGCAACACAATTCACTTCCCTTTTGAAAGAGGAGCATTTTTGCTCACCACTTTGGAAGGGGTTCCTTTTGTACTAAACTGAGTTTTGGTTTAGTTTTCCACTCCTCCCTTCTTTTGTTTGTTTCTCTTGTAAGCATTGCTTTCTCTTTTTTCAAGTTGAATGAAATTAGAGTTCTTTGACCCAACAAAAAAAACCATAATTCCATAAATGCAAAGCAAAGAGTTAACTATGGTTATGTCGATGAACACGTGTCAAGTGATGAGAAAGGTGATGAGGGTACACCTTGGGTTAAAGTAGTGAGCAAAAATATTTCTAGGTTGATAATGTTTCCCCAGTTATTTTCCTACTAGTAAACAGTCAAATAATATAAAAACTCTGAGCATACACGGCAATGCAACATGATGTACCATTATTTAAAACAGTTCAGAAATGCAATATCACCCGATAAAGTCAATAATAGTTACTCGAGCACAACCCAAGACCAGAAATTTCCTGGAAACTTCTTGTAAATTCCCAGAGAATGTTGTTATGCACAGTTCCAAATGGACAAAATTTCGAATTTTGATCAGATAAATTTATTTCGGGATCTTCCTCTGTTTCTTTTTTCAAGAAATAATATTTCTTACCCCAATCCAATGCAAATTCTCCAAGCAAACCAAACGTAACATAATCTCAATCCCAATAACCAAAATGAAAATTTCAAAACACACATATTTCTTAACATTTGATGTTCACATAAGCATGGAGGTATATAATTCACAGAGAAAGAGAAAGATAGAGGACCTGATGGCAGCTATCGCAGGTGAAGGGCAAGAAATCGATCTGCTGGCAATCGGCGACGTAGCAATGCCGACCCAGATCTGGAAACTCCGGAGTTCCCATTAAAATTCGTATACAGAAGCTCCTCGCCAATCAACGAACCAAGAAATTAACACACAGCATGCAGCAACAGGACGAACAAGATGGGATTCTATTCGCAACCAAACAATCCAGTATAAGATTCGACGAGATTTTGTAGTCCCGAGATTTGTTCCGGGATTGGATTGTCCGAAGCTTTTTCGATCTTGCCTTCCGCGGATACAGAAGGACACCAAATCCGCGGAATCCCAAGTCTACGCCAAAGTTTTCTCCACAAGAGACAGGGTCGTTGGAAGTCGCCCCCGAGTTCTGTTTAGAAACAAAAACAAAAAAGAAAAGGAAAAAGGAAACTTTGAGGAGTGAGCCTGAGATATTGGAGCCCATGGGCTTACTAAAACTAGCATTTGTGTTTACCTGGGCTGATATGTGGACTGGAGTATTTGTCGAGGTGAAAATCTATTTTTACATTAATATTTATCAAAAAGTATATAACCTGAAAATCGTAGCTCAAGTAATTAAGACTGGTGCACAGATTATCTTATTTCTATTTTTAACATTTAAGTAAACGTCGAAGTAAATGTCGAAGACTGGTGCACAGATTACCTTATGTCGAAGACTGGTGCACAGATTACCTTATGTCGAAGTAAATGTCTTTGTTCTTTTACTTTCATTTATTTTTGTATTACTTCATTTACTTAAGTTACGTGCTAATGGAGAACAATTAATCAACACAAGACCGTCAGTAAGCATGTGCAAGAAGAAGATCTAACATATGCTTAGTGTAGAAGATGTCAGCAACAACAAGGATAGCACTCCTTACATATCTAACAAAACAAGCATTATATGCTTGGATCCATGCCATCACAATTTTAAACTTTTACAATCAAATACTTGATGATATACTGATATGCCATCTTGCCTTTCTCGCAAATAATTGTCAATTTGTAACAGAGATATCATTACATAAAAGCATTCCATGTATAGTTTCAAAAATTGTAGCATGTTTAATCTGTATCCCTTATGAATTTAAGAACATCAGAAACAGAACTTACAGTAGGGAAGCTCCTTGACTAATATTCCTTCATCTCTGTTGTCCTCTGCATCCAAGCCAAGTGATAAAGTTTCATATCCATATGAGATGAAGTTTAGGAATCCTACACGCTGCAAATCTTGAAGGAAGAAGATGGATGCTGTGCTTGTAGACTTATATCAGATCCCAAACCAGATGGAGGTACTTCTTTCCTTGCAAGTTTGATGTATTTCAACCTTTAGTAGATTTAATTTTGCTTAAATTTCAGCACTATTTGGAGGGCCCATATCACTTGCAACAAAATAATGAAACTTATTATCTACTTCGATCCAGCTGCAACCTGCTTTTTTGTTTACTTTCAAGTCATTCATAACAGTTCTAACCTTAGCAGCATCATCAAACATTCCTCCCCTAGCGTGCATATTTGAAACAAGTATATAAGACCCGGCCTCTCTAGGTTCCAATTCAAGCAAACATTTCGCAGCTAACTTGCCAAATGTCAAATTCCCAAATAACATGCACACATTGACTGAAGTTCTCCAAAGCATAGGTGAGTCTGGAAATGGACTTCTGTTGATGAAATCGATGGGTTCTGAAAAATTCTCAGATTGACCCAAAAGATCAACCATGCATGCAATGTGCTCAATTCCTGACTGAGCCCCATATTTTGACTCCATTTCATTGAATAAGCGCAACCCAGTTTCCCATAATCCAGTGTAGCTGCAGGCTTGAAGAATGGCCAATAACGTTGTCTCATCAGGGGAAAATCCTTCTTCCTTCATATCTTCAAAAAGAGAAAGTGCTCTGTTGCCTTCTCCATGGAGGGCATACGCAGATATTATGGCATTCCAGGATACACAATCACGAGTGTTCATACCATTGAACATTTGATTAGCATCTTCAATGCTACCACATTTGGCATACATTGTAATTACAGCATTACCTACAGTGGAATCGGCTTCAAATCCGGCTTTAATAGCGTAAGCATGCATACTTTTCCCCCTATATAAGCAAGTTTCATCAGCAGCTAAACTAAGGAGTCGTGAATAAGTTATGAAATCTGGATTTATGCCAGCCAATCTCAGTTGACTAAATAGAATCATGGGATCAGCTTCAAGATCTCTTTGTGATCTCTTTTTTTATTTATTATTTCATAAAATAATATTGTATTACTTTTGTAAAAACTGGAGAATATCTATTCAAATAACTATAGAATGGCAGAATTGTTAGCAGGGATATATATTTTTTGAGATCAATACGACGCAAAGATGTTGTTGTTAGCAGGGATATATAATATTTTAAAGATATTGTTGTTGAAAAACGTTTCGTTAGTAGAAGTCACTGGGTGCACAGATGCTTATCATCGTTGAGACTTTCTTGTTTTATTTTGATCTAAAACTAGTCTTTCTTATCTTTCTTTTTATATAATACTAATAAATAGTGGACGGTGGAATGACTAGAAGAAGTCCATCGGTAGGAAATTTCCTTGCGTTAGGATGCTTTATCTCTTGGTTTGAATGCGTAGTGTTTGGGTCTTCTAGTCCCACTTGAGAGGAAAGGACAACTGTGCTACGATTTTTTTATTTTTTTTATTTTTTATTTTGGTCATTTTCTCCCAAGTGGGACTAGAAGACCCAAATACTACGCATCGTTTTTCAACAACAATATCTTTAAAATATTATATATCTCTGCTAACAACAATATATTTAAGACTTGCGTCGTATTGATCTCAAAAAATATATATCCCTGCTAACAATTCTGCCATTCTATAGTTATTTGAATAGCTGTTCTCCAGTTTTTACAAAAGTAATAAAATATTATTTTATGAAATAATAAATAAAAAAATGATTCCTAAAGAATAGGCGGTGCGCAACAAACCAATCAATCTTTATAGATTGGTTTCTTTGTCTGTTCCGCAGCAAAGGATGTATGTAGGCTTGTGCCCACAGCCAAGCAACACAGATAATGCATATAAAGACAAAAAAAATAGTAACAAGCATGTGAAGAGAAAAGATGAGAATCTTGTTCACTTCTCACGTATGTTCATCTTCTCCCAAAACAAACCAACGTGAGAATCAGATGTAATAGGGTGTGATTTTTTATGGGGTTTGGTATTTATATCACCCACTGAAAAGTCTCACAGAATACATCATTTAATGAAATACCTCAAAATCAATAAGTTTTTTAATACCACCGTAATTTTTCTAATCTTTTGAAAGTCCTAATTGAATACCACGCATTGATGATTTTAAAATCCTAATTGAATACCATCAGATTTTTATTGATTACTTATAAATCATAATTAAATATCATTAGACTTTTAAGCGTAAAAAAAATCTATTAAAATCCTAATTCAATACACCCCCTTAAAGTCAATTTTCTCAACTGGAATAGAGGGGTTGTTGTGGATCAATGCAGACGGAATCAGATCAAAGTGTGATAGTCGATACACCCCCTTAAAGTCAATTTTCTCAACTGGAATAGAGGGGTTGTTGTGGATCAATGCAGACGGAATCAGATCAAAGTGTGATAGCGAAGGACAAGTGCAGTATCAGTGAGGAAGCGGATTCTTGATGAGAGAGATACAATACAAGCCCTCCGACGATTTCAAGTGCCTCCAGCTCCCGTGGAACCCAAATGAATGGCAGTTTGGAATCAGAGGCGCTAGGGGAACTGAATTCGAGGGTGGGATTTATCATGGGCGGCTCCTGTTTCCGGAGGAATACCCATGGAAGGCTCCTTCATTCATGTTTTTGACGGAAAATGGTCGCTTCAAAACTCAAACCAAGATCAGATTGAACTGGCAGTTATCATGGAGGGTGCGAGATGCTTTACTTGCACTTGTTGATGAAATGGACACCTACCCAGATGGTGAATTGGGTTCTATAAATTACAGTAAGGGAAAAAGGCGTGCCCTGGCCATGAAATCTCGTGAAGCAGCCCCAAAATATGGCACTTCTGAACGTCAGAAGCTAATTGATGAGATTCATCAAAATTTGCTAAGGGAGGCACCCGTTCCTGTTCCTCAACTCCAACAGACGAGAAACACTTCCCTGGCACGGAGATGTCAGGTCAGCAATCCACCTGTGGATTATTTTAACTTCTCTTTCGTTCTCTCTTGCTACAACTCTCTTCGTTATTTATTTGTCCTCCCTATTTAATCTTTCTTTAGTCTATCTTCCAAACAGAGCTGAGAAAGTGTTTTTCCAATTTCAATGGTTAGTGAATTATCCAGATAAATGAGCGAGAGAGCCACGAAAACAAAACCAAGCCGAACAATGGATTAATACCCATAAAAAAGGGACAAAACAGAAAAAAGAGTTTGAAAATCTGAGGAAGAGAACTGCGATTTTGGGGAAGGATAAGTTTGACATAGAAGATATATATGGATATATATATTTATGTATTTATTTTTAAAGCTTAGGGTGCTTTTTAGGGGTGAAAAAAAGCTTGGACTTTTACCATCCAAGTTTGTCTTCGATAACAATTTGTAAGATTTCTGAGAGAATAGTTGGAGGAGGGTGGAGTCTGGCTGCAGAGAACAGAAGAGAAGATGTAACGACAAGTTAAAATAATTGACGAATTGCAAAAGTGTATTAGATTAGGATAATGAGTTGGATTGCTGACTGAACCTCCACTTTTCATGCAATGGAATAGCAGTTTTTACTATGAGTGTTGTTAAACGAATCTTAAAATTAACTTTGTTATACCTTATGATCTAAGTGCACTTTAATATTTAAATTAAAATGTAAAATTAACTAAGTACACCACATTTAACTATCAAAAATATCCCTAGTACACCCTAATACATTCTATAACATAACTCAACCATTCTCCCTCTCTCTATGACACAGCCCAACTTCACCCTTCCCCTGCTTATTGCTAGCCAACCCAGACCCAACGAACATAAGGTTCTAATAAGCTTGGAATATCGTGTTGGAACCCATCTCCCTTCAACTAGTGGAAGAAGGAAAATGCCAAATTGGGTTCGTTTCTTAGACCGTTAAGGTCGCTATCAACCCGCAAGGTATCTAATTCAAAGAAGAAATAGGTAGTATTGGAGTTGTTGGAAGCTGGTGTTTGTGTTGCAAATAGTAACATAATTTGTCATCTGATTCATTAGAGGGTGAGGAGTTGGAGTTCAAATGGGCAAGTGTAAGAACCGTTTGGGAAGATGCCCACTTGAAACCACCAACACCGTTGATGAACATAAAATGATTATTGTTTTGGGTGGGTTGAATGCGTTTTCTGAGAAAACCAACTCTAATGGACGAAATCAACACATAAAGAGAATTTGGATGAGAGAGAGAGAGAGGTGGAGGGCGGTAGCGGTGGGGTTGGGTTGAATTAAAATTATATTTATTGCACAATTCAATATATTCTTTTTTGTCATTTTATATTGTTGCGTGATTCAGCTGCATAAAAATGAATTCAGTTGCATCCTCAACTTGTGATACTCTCAAGTGCACAAGCCGTTCGGTAGTATAGTATATATAAATGCAACG